CCCTGTAATCCATTTATTTCAACAAAGTAACTGTAATCCAATTACCACTCAGTGAAACAGTAACTGTAACTGAATACAGTTACTCATAATTTGTACTCTGATTACATAATCCCGGTACATGTAATCTGTTACTCCCCAACACTGGTTGTAGCCTGTAGTTGTCTGCCTCGAGATACATTCTAGACAAAGCAGTAACATCTCCATGGAGACAAGCAGGTGACAGACACTCCACCAGGAAAGTTGCACAATGCGGCTTTAAGAAACAGATTTTATTTCATTGTGCAGTTGTGCAATGAGATTTTAATATTTTTTTATCACACCAAAATAAAAACAAGCTAATTAAACTTCTAGGTGAGACAAGTTATAACCGAGATAAATTATTCAAACAGACACTCCCCGAACTAAAAACAAGATCCGACTTGAAATTCCCAATGGTTTTCCAAGAATATTCCCGGGAGCCAAAACAACGCGGCTTTAAGAGTAAAAGCATTTCTACATCGACGTAAAATAATTCTAAGAAAAGACGAAAATCCTGTTGTGAGTTCGGAACCTCCCGACTCGGATAAATGATTCAAAAGCAGCGGATTTTCTAAAAGGTGAAGTAAAAGTGAGACTTCAATATGTCATTTAAAGGTTGTATGGAGGATTTTTTTTTTGTTTCAAATTGTCAATGAAAGTTTAAAATACCATTACAGAGACGCAGCAGCCTTGTAATTACGATGACCAAAAAAAAAAAGAATGAAAATTTATCAACTGTGGACGTGTTGAGGCCAGATAAACATCAGCCAATAGAAAACGAGACTGCCTCTTTACCTATTGGCTGTCAGGTCATTGTAACGTCGGTTGACCGTGAGCGGCTTGGGGTTCAGTGAGCAAGGTAAAAAACAAATCCAGACACAGACAGGTACTTGTGGTCCACAGTTTACTTTTGTTTTTTTCAATGATTACAAAAGTGCAAAAAAGTGCAGGTGCAAAACGGAGGCAGGCAGCAGTTTCCTCTCCAGCAGCAGAACCAGACTGATCTTGAAGGCGCCTTTTATGCCGGTCCTACTGATTGGATAAAACCACTATGCTAAAACAGGGATGGTTAAAATTATCATTAGTGTAAAACTAAAACCTAAACCTCCATAAAACAACCCAAAACCCAGATAACTATTAAAACCACCAACTATATACATAAAACCCTAAAACCATTACACCAATTAAATGTTAAAACCCATAAACCAATAAAACACCTAACCTAAAACCCCTGTACAAAATGTTACACGTGGTCCAGCCCGGAACCATAAAAGAGGGAGCTCGTTTCCGGGGGACTCTTTTCACACCTGGACAGAAGATAAAAAGGGGAGGTAAGTAAAAGCAGATCCACCGTTCATTAAAACACAATAAAATACACTAAACACATCAACACTTAAAACATTCTAAAACCGATATTGCACTAAGTCAATTTAAAATGTAATTTGTTATTGTCTCCCTTTTCCTCCAGGGACAAACAACTTCCAATTAAAGTGCTGTGCCTCAGGAATAAAAAATGGTTAAAGGAAAGACAATAAATATTTTTTAAAACCAATTGTTTGCAATTTATTTTGTGATGTGCAAATATGTTAAAAGTGCTGTGTGCAAGGAAAGTGTAGTGTTTTAAAGTGCTCTAGTGAAGGGTGAAGGTGCTAAGTGTGGTTCTGGGGTAACAAACCAGCCTGTTTGTTACAGTCGTCAGTCAAACTCCCTACGTTTCTAGTGTAATTGACTCGTCGGGATGCAGGGATCACGTGGTTTATGCAGCGGTTCTTAGAGGCTTTTTCAAACTGTCACTTCCTCACAAAGTTTGTTGCGATGGCGGACGAGAATCCACGACCGGTTCGCCGCAAAAGAAAGTCAGTTTTTGAGGTCGCTGAAAGACGAAGAGAAGAAGGGGAAAAGGAGCGAAGACAAACTGAGGTGATTCTTGGAGATTCCTTCCAGCGATTGCGCGAGTGAAGCGGACGAAGGGTCTAAAAACTCGCATGCACAACATTTGTAAAAGAACTGTCGCTGTATTTCTCTTCCCTTAAAAAAATCCTCTATACAACCTTTAAAAGCACATTGTGGAACTTTTCTGGTGAAGAGTCCGTCTGGAATGTTTCACAGTACGGCATTAAACCTTTTTACGTTCATGGAAGGTGAAATCAGAGCAAGTTTCACAGTCAGAATGCCGTTTTTTTCCAGTTATCTTTGCGTTACAAAAACATCTGCACTTGAATAAATGTAATGTAGGGAGAGAGCTGATTAAAGGTTGTATAGAGGATTTTTTTTAAGGGAAGAGAAATACAGCGACAGTTCTGTTACAAATGTTGTGCATGCGAGTTTTTAGACCCTTCGTCCGCTTCACTCGCGCAATCGCTGGAAGGAATCTCCAAGAATCACCTCAGTTTGTCTTCGCTCCTTTTCCCCTTCTTCTCTTCTTCTTTCAGCGACCTCAAGAACCGACTTTCTTTTGCGGCGAACCGGTCGTGGATTCTCGTCCGCCATCGCAACAAACTTTGTGAGGAAGTGACAGTTTGAAAAAGCCTCTAAGAACCGCTGCATAAACCACGTGATCCCTGCATCCCGACGAGTCAATTACACTAGAAACGTAGGGAGTTTGATTGATGACCTGACAGCCAATAGGTAAAGAGGCAGCCTCGTTTTCTATTGGCTGATGTTTATCTGGCCTCAACACGTCCACAGTTGATAAATTTTCATTCTTTTTTTTTTGGTCATCATAATTACAAGGCTGCTGCGTCTCTGTAATGGTATTTTAAACTTTCATTGACAATTTGAAACAAAAAAAAAATCCTCCATACAACCTTTAATCTCACACTGTGGAACATTCCAGAGAGGTGAGGTTTTCCGTGTAACTGTCAGATTTCAGATTTGTGGACCTGGTTTACGGTTCATATCTCTGTAATTCCTCGGCCTTTCCGCGTGAAACAAAAACTGGCGCAAAGTTCAAGGTCTTCTCTGTCAGAATAAATAAGCAAACGAGAAATAATTTGTTCACAAACGCTTCAAAAAGTGGCGCCATTACGTTATTCAACCCCAAAGACGGACTTGAAGGACTTTAAAGGTCTTCTGTTACGCAAACTGACTCTTGTGTCTGGTTACCTCAAAAACAAAAACACACCTGGAGTTGTGTTTTGTTTCATTCACATTCACGTTTGAGTAAATCTTTATTATTACATCTTCAAAGCTCAAAATGCTCTGCTCCACCTTGTGATGTCATGAAGTGAACGGCTCCTTTTAACTTTAGTTCGGTGGAGAGTTGGCAGGTCCGGGGCTGAAATGATCCAAATGATTCTAGTGAAGGTGTGTGGAGTTTAAAAACACAATGGAGCACTTCCTGTCACATGGTGGAACAGGTGTTTGAGAGGAGAACTCAGCCTAAGTCCGTATTGTTGTTTCCTTGGGCAAAACACTCCGCACTCCTTGCTTTTGACAATAGTAACTTGGTTGGAGATTTTTTTATTCATTTATTTGTCCGGGAGGAGCTCGGAGTAGAGTCGCTGCTCCTCCACGTCGAGAGGAGCGGCTGAGGCCCGGGCGTCTGTTCCTGGTGCCTCCTGGACGTGTCCCTCGGGAGGTGATCACGTCCCACCGGGAGGAAGACCCAGGACACACTGGAGGGACTGTGTCTCTGGACTGGCCTGGGAACACCTCGGGGTCCCCCCGGAGGAGCTGGAGGAAGTGTCTGGGGTGAGGGAAGTCTGGGAGTCCCTGCTTAGACTTACACAGAGATTTGGTTCAGTCCTGGTTTAGTCCTGGTTTAATCCTAGATTTAGTCCTGGTTTAGTCCTGATTTAGTCCTGGTTTAGTCCTGTTTTAGTCCTGGTTTAGTCCTGGTTTAGTCCTGGTTTAGTCCTGGTTTAGTCCTGGTTTAATCCTAGTTTAGTCCTGGTTTAGTCCTGTTTAGTCCTGGTTTAGTCCTGGTTTAGTCCTGGTTTAGTCCTGGTTTAGTCCTGGTTTAATCCTAGTTTAGTCCTGTTTAGTCCTGTTTTAGTCCTGGTTTTAGTCCTGTTTTAGTCCTGGTTTAATCCTGGTTTAGTCCTGTTTTAGTCCTGGTTTAATCCTAGTTTAGTCCTGGTTTAGTCCTGTTTTAGTCCTGGTTTAGTCCTGGTTTAGTCCTGATTCTGTTCCTGTTTAGTCCTGGTTTAGTCCTGGTTTAGTCCTGGTTTAGTCCTGGTTTAGTCCTGGTTTAGTCCTGGTTTAGTCCTGGTTTAGTCCTGGTTTAGTCCTGTTTAGTCCTGGTTTAGTCCTGTTTTAGTCCTGATTTAGTCCTGGTTCAGTCCTGGTTCAGTCCTGGTTTTGTCCTGGTTCAGTCCTGGTTTAGTCCTGGTTTAGTCCTGGTTTCAGTCCTGGTTTAGTCCTGGTTTAGTCCTGGTTTAGTCCTGGTTCAGTCCTGGTTTTTTTTAGTCCTGGTTCAGTCCTGGTTTAGTCCTGGTTTAGTCCTGGTTCAGTCCTGGTTTAGTCCTGGTTTAGTCCTGGTTTAGTCCTGTTTTAGTCCTGGTAGTCCTGGTTTAGTCCTGGTTCAGTCCTGGTTCAGTCCTGGTTCAGTCCGGCATCACAGTTCACGTAAACGGGAATCAGTTTTTTTTTTCTTTTTTCTATTGTTTATAAAATTATTATTTTTTTTTTTTATGAACACTGTAGAATCTTTATCAGTGCAGCTTGGGATTTTTAGTCCAAATCGAGACTCACATCGCCTCTGGTCTCCGCTTCGGGCCCATAAATAAACCATAAATAATGTAGTTCATTTTTTATTTCGTATCTTTTACATTTAAATTCACTGCCAACCGCTCCATTTGCCCTTTCAATAACATTTTCTTGGCTCTTATCACGCGTCTGCCTTGGACACTCCGTTACGCTCTCCTCCTCTCCACTCCTCCCTCCCTCCTTTTCCCTCTCTCTCTCTCTCTCTCTCTTCCCCTCCCTCCTTTTTTCTCCCTCTCCTTGCAGCTCGCATCTCTAAATAGCGAAGCAAACCACTCGCGGAGGGGTGGACGTCGCTCGTAATCTCCCCGCGCTCCACCTGCGAACCCGAATCCAAACATTTCCACGCGATTCTCAACTCAAAAACCCCACATTGAACCAAATAAAAACGCTAAATTTGCTCATTTTTCCCCAATATTTTACGCGCGTCAAAGGAACCGGGAGGGGGGGGGGGTCTCCTCTCCAGCGCGTCCGTGCCCGATCGGAAGCACCTTTTCCCGGGGTTGTGGGGCGGGGGGGGGACGGTCCTGGGAGCTTTTTGGATGCTTCGGAGCGGAGTTGAAGCGAAGTCCGAAACGCGGTGACGAGACGCCGGGGGAAGGAGCGCTCCTGCCCGGGCTTGAACATGGACGCGCCGTCGCTCTGCTTCTCCATTGTGCTGCTCCTGTTACAATGTAAGTAACGCACGCATTTTTTCTTTTATCTTTACGCTTTTTTTCTGCGGGAATTTCTCGATTAAAGTTACAAACCGGAACAGCTCGAGTCAAAGCGTAATTGCGTCTTTTTTTTGGGCACGTTTTTGTCTCGGGTGACGCCGGGTTTGAGTCGCACAGTTCGGCGTAAAGAAGCGTGGATTTGTAAACACGAGCAGGTGGTAACTTTGAACTGGAAGCTAATCTCCGGGAGTTTTTTTATTGATTTTTACGAAATGTGTCACATTTTAACGTTTTAATCACTAACACGCGCCAATTGAGGCTAATAAACAACAACAAAAATGTTAATATTATCATTTTAAATCGAGATATACAGAGAAAAGACGGTGTCAGACATAAGCAGTTTAACAGAATTAGTAGAAAGTGGATTATTTATTTTAGTTCGCACAGGATATTTTCTTTTAAATATCATTCAGTTTTTAATTAAGTCAAGGTTTATTGTTTTTAAATTTATGGTGCATTTTGAGTTTTTCGAGAAGCTCTTCCCCTGTGTTGTTTTCTGGTCTAAATCAGGATTAAACCGGGTCTTGACCAGGACTAAACCAGGTCCAAACCATCACAGATAAACTCAGGGACTAAAGGCGTCACTAAACGAGTATCAAACCAGGACTAAATCGGGACTAAATCAGGTTTAAACCAGGACTAACATGACCAGTTTTTAACATAGGCTTGACCAAACTGAAATGGGACTCAAACCAGGTCTAAATCAGGTCTAGACCAGAATGAAACCAGGTCCTAACCAATCTGAACCATCACGGCTGAACTCAGGACTAAATGCTCGACTAAACGAGTACCAAACCAGGACTAAATCAGGATTAAATAAGGTTTAAACCAGGACTAACATAACCAGTTTTTAACGTAGGCTTGACCAAACTGAAATGGGACTCAAACCTCATCTAAATCAGGGCTAAACCAGGTCTAAACCAGGTCTAAACCAGGTCTAAACCAGGTCTAAACCATCACAGCTGAACTCGGGACTAAATGCTCGACTAAACATTTACCAAACCAGGACTCGACCAGGACTAAATCAAGACTAAATATGGTTTAAACCAGGGCTAACGTAACCAATGTAGGCTTGACCAAACTGAAATAGGACCCAAACCAGGTCTAATCCAGGTCCAAACTAGTCTAAACCAGTCTTAACCATCACGACCAAACTCGAGACTAATTGCTCGACTAAGCAAGTACCAAATCTGGACTAAATATGGTTTACACCAGGACTAACAAATCCTGTTCTTAACACAGGCTTGACCAAACGAAATGGGACTCAAACCAGGTCTAAACAAGGACTAAATCAGGTCTTGACCAGGATAAAACCAGGTCTAAACCAGGTCCAAACCAGTCTAAACCATCACATCTTAACTCAGGACTAAATGCTTGACTAAACAAGTACCAAACCAGGACTAAATCAGGACTAAATCAAGACTAAATACAGTTTAAAACTAGGATGAACATAACCAGTTTCTAATGTAGGACTGACCAGACTGAACTGGGACCCAAACCAGGTCTAAACCAGGTCTAAACCAGGTCTAAACCAGGTCTAAACCAGGTCCAAACCAGTCTAAACCATCACATCTTAACTCAGGACTAAATGCTCGACCAAACCAGGACTAAATCAGAATTAAATCAGGTTTAAACCAGGACTAACATGACCAGTTCTTAATGTAGACTTGACCAAACTGAAATGGGACCCAAACCAGATCTAAACCAGGACTAAACCAGATCTAGACCGGTTCCAAACCAGTCTAAACTGCCCTCATCACAACTGCATGCTGGACTAAACCAAGACCAAATCTGGTTTAAATTTGGACTAAGATAACCAGTTCTTAAATGGGACTGACACTAGGACTAAACCAGGACTAAATTAGGACTAAACCAGATCTTGACCAGTTCCAAACCAGTTTAAACCAGCCCTGAGTACATCACAACTTAACTCGGGATCAAATGCTGGACTTAACCAGGACTAAACCAAGACAAAATCAGGTTTAAGACAGGACTAAGTGAACCAGTTCTTAACCAAGACTTAAGCCAGGACTAAACAAGGTTCAAACCAGGACTAAACCAGGTCTTGACCAGTTCCAATCCAGTCTAAACCAGGACTAAACCAGAACTGACTAAACAAGTAAAAACCAGGACTAAACCAAGAGAAAATCAGGTTTAAACCAGGACTAAGCTAACCAGTTCCTAACCAAGACTTAAACCAGGACTAAACCAGGTCTTGACCAGTTCCAAACCGGTCTAAACCAGGACTAAAGCTGGACTATTCCATCTCCTTCTCTGTCCACTCCCCCCTGTTGTTTTGCGTGGGTGGACCGAGCAGACCCGCTGTCCCAGGACCTCCCGAGGACTTGGACTCAGGTCTGGTCTGGACTTGGATCTGGACTTGGACTTGGACTGTGGTCTGGACTTGGCTCGGTTTCATCACATACGGCAGCTCCAGTGGGCGAGAGGTGCTAAAACGCGTCTCACTTTTTGGACTTGAACCAGAAAACAGGTCGTGACGAGGCAGGGAACGGACTTTTTATATTTATTTAATGTAGAAGTTAAAGACGAGACTTTGCAGGATGAAAATTTCAAACTCGATTTATTTTTTTTAGACATTAGAATCTGATTTTCAACATTAAATGGTAGATACTTTGTTTAATATTCCCCTGTGGTTTTATGGGACTTTTTTAGTCTCGATACCTGATTTTGAAACAAGTTTTAGTATCGATTCGAGGACTAAATCAGACCCAAACCAGGATTAAACCAGGACTAAAACCAGAACTAAAACCAGGACTAAACCAGGACTAAATCAGGACAAAACCAGGACTAAACTAGGACTAAATCAGAAATAAAACCGAACTAAAATCAGGACAAAACTAGGACTGATCCAGGACTAAACCAGAAATGAACCAGGACTAAACCAGAACTGAACCAGGACTAAACCAGAACTGAACCAGGACTAAACCAGAACTGAACCAGGACTAAACCCAGGACAAACCAGGACTAAACCAGAACTGAACCAGGACTAAACCAGAACTGAACCAGGACTAAACCCAGGACAAACCAGGACTAAACTAGGACTAAATCAGAAATAAAACAGAACTAAAATCAGGACAAAACTAGGACTAAACCAGGACTAAACCAGGACTGAACCCAGGAATAAACCAGAAGTAAATCAGGACTAAACCAGGACTAAGTCAGGACTGAACCAGGACTAGACCAGGACTAAACATTTTCAAATTTTTCTAGATTTTGTCAGATTTACAACTGCGACTAGAAGCCCAAACGTCGTACAGATTCGAATCAGATTTTTGATATTTTTGCCAAACGTACTTTATATAATTATAATTTCTGACATTTGTTGATCTTTTCTTTAAGTTTTACACAGTTTAAATCACAAAATTGATCTAAAACTATAATAAAACTCTTCTGATTCTAAAGAAATTACTCTGGAAACTTCTGGCGTTGATTTCCAAAGAATAACGATTACGCAAACATTTATTAATCACTCACTTTTTTGCCGTTTTTGAGCCGATTTTTTTTTGTTTTTGGGATCGAGTTTTCGCTTAATCGAGTGTCGTGCTTCGTGTCGTAAACATGAGGTAACGAGAACCGATTAATACCTCATGACCAGCTCCTGATCGACAATCGTACGTCGCAAGAAAATCCAACCTGTCTGAAATCCAGTCGCGTCTCGTGAGGGTTTCGCTCTGTTGAAGTCGTTCGTTTAGTTTGAGAACGTGAATCGTGAGCGGTGAACTTTTAAACCCTGAGATTTGATCGAACAGTTTGAGCTGAGGCTGAATGGAACGATCGAAAATATCTCAGAGTGTACGTACGTCCGTCTTAAAAGAGAAGGGAAACAACGTAGGAGTCCATTTGGGATAGTACGTCCCCTTTAACCCTTCCTGATTTTTGATATTTTTGTCAACCGTACTCTATATAGTCACAATTTCTGACATTTGTTGATCATTTTTTTTATGTTTTACTCACTTAAAATCGCAAGATTGATCTAAAACAACAATAAAACTCTTCTGATTCTAAAGAAATGACACAAACATGCATTAATCAGTCAGTTTTTGGTTCTTTTTGAGTCGATTTTTCACTCGTGCGACTGTTTTCGGGATCGAGTTTTGGCTTAATCGAGTGTCGTAAACATGAGGTAACGAGAACCGATTAATACCTCAGGTCGCAAGAAAATCTCGAATATATCGTTTAGTCTGAGAACTTGAATCGTGAGCGGTGAACTTTTAAACCCTGAGATTTGGTCGTGCAGATTGAGCCGAGCCCGAGTGAAACGATGGAAAAAACGCAGGAGTCCGTTTACCAGAGGTGGGAACTTGCAAGTCGTGACTTGGACTCGAGTCAGACTTGAGTCACTATATTTAGGACTTGAGGCTCGGCTTGATAAAATGGACAAAGACCTGGGACTCGACTTGGACTTGAAGGTCAGTGACTTGGGACTTGACTCGGAATTGAGGCCTGTGACTTGAGAAGACTTGAGAAGAACTTTTAAATCTGAACTCTTTCTGTTCTGACTGTAATGATTTGGACTCAAAAACCAGGTCTAAACCAGGACTAGACCAGGACTAAACCAGGTCCAAACAAGTCTAAACCATCACGACTAAACTTGTTCCGAACCAGGACTAAATCAAGACTAAATCGGTCTTAAACCAGGTCATTTAAAAAGGAAAAATTAACCTAATTCATTTCTATAACTCTTATATACTCTATAAATACTCTAAATATAAATATACTCTGACATTTTAAGTACAATTTATCTTAAAATTCATATAAATTGCAAAAATCTATCTGTCTGTATTTGGTTCTTTGGTTTAAAGACTTGAAATGACTTGAAGCTCAAAGGAGACGATTTGGACTTGACTTGGACTTATGGGCCAGTGACTCGAGACTCAACTTGGACTTGACTTGGACTTGAGGTTAAAGACTTGAGACTTACTTGAGACTTGCAAAAC